TTATCAGTTTTATCAGTGCTCGAAATCTCTATAAAGCACTGTACTTTATATAATAATCACTATTCATATATTGATTTCTGAAGTTGGAATTCATATTTATGTTGTTCGCTTGTATCTATTTTACAGGCTATTGACGATGATTGCAATCAAACTGCACAAATTTTGTCAACGCTTCTCAACTGGTCACAGGTAATACTGTACCACACAAGGAACAGCAAGCATTGTATATACTGTATCGCATTTAAAGAAGCTTTAGGATGAGATGAGTGTTTTATACCATAAAATCAAGCAATTATATATTATAGAAGGTTCTTCATATTTGATTTTTGTTCATTTTTATTTTGTTTCTATACACTCCATTTCTTTTGTCAACTTTGCATGCAAGCAATGCACCCCTGCATGGTCCACTATATTTTCCCCCGTTTATTGTAGAGGAAAAAATGCGTACTTTTACCACTGATATTCCATCTTGTTCATTTTATTATGGAAATATTGTGACAAAATCATGTTTACATCACCCTTCCACGCAGAAAAATGTTTCTTCTGGTGCTACACGATTTACAGTGTTACTCTTCCATATTTTAAACTTGAGGTTGTTACATTTTTTATTATTAATTCCTTTAATGATTATATTAAATATACGTTTCGTAAACCTTTCTAGCTGGTATTATTATTTCAATGTGTTCGACAGTGGCATTTTTTAATATTTTTCTTTGTACGCTGTACAAATACATGTAGTAGTTTAACCTGCTGACGGTTAGGGTATATAGAATTCAAAACCCATAAGCAAACCCAGGTAATACTGTTAATATACAAACAATGTAAATCTATTGCTCTTGTGTACTGTAAACCATGTCACTCGGTAACTGCATGTAAATGTAGATCACAGCATACGTCTTTCATCCAAATTTAGGCAACCTTTGCTTCAGGCATAGAACCAAGTGATGGGCAATTGAAGGTCACAAGAGAAATTGACGGTGGTTTGGAGAATATCTCTGTAAAATTGCCAGCTGTTTTATCTGCTGACCTAAGGTACAGATGCTATTAACACTCAGTTCGCTACAATCAAGAAGACGTGGTCGTGGATATTCAAATTTGAAACTTTTGCACCGAGTTTTATTTTTTGATCCATGTTTGTCAAGGCGATTTTACGTAACTGAAATCCTGTATTCTCTTTTAGATTGAATGAGCCGAGATATGCTACATTACCTAACATCATGGTGAGCGAGCGATTGTTATATAATAGTGCATGCAGTGAAAATAATTCAACCACGCTATAAACTGATTTCGTTTAGGCTAATAGTCTATAGTTCGCACTATGAAGCATCCGTAACGCCGTACTGTAATGCTTGTACTTGGTTAATACTGAACGTCTTACATATTTATTTAGTCGAATTTATATTAGAGAGGAGAAACTCGTTGTATTGTATAGATGGTAAATTTGGCAAATAAAACACGTCGTTTGAATGTAGATTTATAGGAGATGGAAATCAGTTCGTGGTTCGAGTCAGGGTGTTAGCCAGGATTTCAAAAGTGGCCGTCCAAAATAATTTTGTGGGCGTGGCAACATATTTTTGTGGGCGTGGTCACATGTTTTTGGGCGTGGCCACAATTTTCTGTTGTTGAGGAATTGCGGTGTTTTATTCGTTGAACCTTTTTACTTTTAGATGCACATTTCCATCATTAAATTAGTAAAAGCACACGTATGGTATGATCACTACCGTAACTGTAACGTGGCGCTCGATCGATTGCTGTTTTTTAAAACAGCGATTTCACATTCTCCTTGATACTTCATGCGAGACATTTACAAAAACATGGCGCGTTTTACAAAAATATGGCGCGAAGTATTCAAGAAATATTAGAAAGCTTGTAGGTTGCTATTTAAAGAAAATATTCCCTTAGGCCGTCCATGGCCGTCAATTAAAATTTAGCCGTCCAAATTCAGAAGTGGCCGTCCATAGGACGGTCGGACGGCCACCTGGCTAACACCCTGGTTCGAGTTTTAGACCGGTGCACGGGCGATAAAGAGCAATAGTTAAAATTGGCGGATTTATGAGGTAAAAAGTGCAAAGAGATGTCAATGGGAAAAATCAACACTCCATTTCCTAGAAAAGAAACCATCCTGTGCACTGAAATTTTCGTGACTTTTATTCTCGACAATTTACGGTGGTGGTGGAGGGGTGCATCAGATAACCCCGAATCATTCCCTGCGTGTGCTGTATTTTATCTTATGATATTTTAAACGGTTTATTACTTGTAAATTTTAGAAAGCTAAAAAGAAAAAGCTAGATAAAAAGAGTCCAGCAGACCTTGGAGTAGATGTCTCACCAAGGATAGAAGTATTATCAGTTGAAGATCCTCCAGTTCGCGAAGCTGGCATAAAAATCGAAAGTGTTGATGATTTGGTGGGGAAACTGAAAGAGCATGGCTTTGTTTGATGTCCTTATAATAAGAGCTGTTTAGGAGAATTGTTATTTTAAAATTATACTGTTTATATATAATAAATTTCACATATTAGCAATGTTTTGTCAAGGTGCATGTGTGTTGTGTTTCCATTGTGGTGAATACAATATCATTTGACGTGCATGTGTAGTGGTTTTCTTATACACAAAAGCAAAATAAGAAACTATACAGAAAGGATCCATCTTTCCCCGCATTCTTTCTTCCTTCGCAGCCATGCCGCCCCCTGCTCGATTTCTTCTAACTTTTATTTCTAACTTTTATTTCAAGCTCTATTGAAAACTGCGTTCTATAAAAATAGCTCTTTTTCGGCCCTTTTTAAAAAAGATGACTGGGGACGAGTCGGGTTATACATCTCAGTGTTATACATCTCAGCGTTACCATGCATGCAGTCAGTGCTGCAAACAATGAAAATCAATAAAATCAACTTGTTTTGGTGCTTTTTCTTTGATTACATACGCGGCATTGAGTGTGTTTACTCCTGTCAGTAATATACAAAATTTAAATGCTAATTTTTATCATATAAATTATACTATAATCACCCCCCAAATTCAAGGTGTCTTAGACTCTTAGTGGCCAATCACGGCTCTACAAGAGTATTTTACAAGTCAGTGTTATGCACAGTATAGTAATATGGCAAGTTGGTATTATGTAAGTTAGTGTTTTACAGGCAATGTTGGTATTAAACATGCAGCTACGTGATCAAAACTGTAACTAGTTATCGATACAAGTTACAATTGGCAAAAAGTAACTAATTGCTGTTATTGAAAGTCTTTTATTCACATATTCTCGGGTTTCACACGACCTCACGTGGGAGTCAACTCCGGCAAGGACTCGAGGAACTGTGTCAAGGTTATAGGACGTCTTATATTGTTACGTTTATATATTGGCTTTTATAATAGTCGGAGAACTCACTTACATAAGATGCGTTGACAGCCATTTTGTTTCTTTCACAAAACTTCGGTTGGTAGTTGACCTCGGTTCAATGATTGGCCCCACCGCAGTCAAATTATGCTAAAATTATCACGTGATTGAAACCCAAGAATTAAAAGGCCAGTCATCATGTACCAGCATAGTACGTGTGGCAGGTACATGAGTAGTTCATCTGCATTTGATGTAGGGGCAAACTATTAGAAAATTAGGAATTTTAAAGGTACATTTATTTTCCTTTGCTTTTCCTCGATCTGTACGAATTTTTTTCTTTTGTTTTTCTTTGCACGAATTTTATTTCTTTACTTAGAGTACCTATTGCACTATAAAATTTAACTATACATTTTCTTTCTAATTAACTTTCAAAGATTGAACATTGCAATGTCACGAAAGCTATGCGGTGCCAACATACGAGGTCTTTTTCCCTGTTTTCTTTATAACTTCAAGAAGATCCTCAGCAGAAGCATCAGATGTTACATAAACTCTCTGCTTCTCCATATCGATGGCAATGTCCTTCACATCTGAAAATAGAAAGCTCCCAAACTAGTATCTACAGCCTTGTCTTTTATCTGTGAAATTTTGTTTTCTCTTACGTTTTCATTAATGCATGGTCTCGATCGGTATGCTGGTCCAATTGACTGATAATAGATACCAACATTGAATGGGGGCGAACTGGCAGTTGTTTATACATTAAGTGCAATATTCATAAACTACAGTCTACACTATAAATAAAATGCATACATGTCAAAATCTGGATCGCCGATGTGACCTTTCAACTGATTGCGGAGCCAATAATCAGGGACTTAGCAACCCCCCAAAATAACCCCCCAAAATTTGTTCATGAGTAATTTCAGGTAAATTTCTAGTTAATTTAAGCTGATTCTCAGGTAAATTATAACAGCAATCTTTTAACAAATAAATTTAAGTTGGCAAGAACATGTTTCGCCTAAAAACTTTAAAGATATAAACATGCCAAGTTTCAGCAATGTTCTTCAGTTCACTTAGGAAACATTGTAAAACCAAAATATTACAAAATAAAACAATTGAACGTTTTAGGGCAAATTGTTTGGATTGTGGCTGCACACAAAACCATATAAGGAGTCATATAAATGCAGTTAATGTCTACAGTATATTATGAAACAGCTATTCTTCTCGTCGTACATGCCATCAGCTCATCGAGTTCGTGGAATAACTGGTTATTGAATTGTATTAGAATGATGAAATTTAATGCTATGCATGCTTATTAGCTAATGAGTAATGTATATACAATCCTTGCCATTAACATGCAGTAATTGCAAATCTATTCTTTACCTTCTCTCCTTTTTAAAACTCGTTCAACAGCTCCAGAACAGCCACCACATGTCATCTCTACTTCAAATTCGTGTTTCTAAACAATACAAACATAACTGATTTAAAAGAAAAATCAAGAAAAATCATCGTCAAACTAATCGTCGAAAGGATTTGTAGATGGAATTTTCTAATAAATGTACAAAATTTATTCCACTCGAAAATTACATCTACAAATCCCATCGACAATTAGTTGTATCGAGTGAGATACCCAAAATCTTCATATTTACCCATGCACCGTGCATTGACATCATCTTAGTATTTATACATAAACTTGCGGTTAGAGCTCGACAACTGTCTCTTTGTAGCTTAGTTCATTAGAGCGCTGCACCGGAATCGCGTAATAAAAGTACACAAATTCCACTCGAAAATCCCATCTACATTTGGGACGGACTAGTAGGGACCGAGAGCATTCTTTTGTGTCTGATCCATACTCCCAACGGCCAGATTTGAGCCTAAGCCAACACCGCGGAAAAACGTCTGCGCATGCGTCAACCTTACCTGTAATAGTATTGCGAACTTGATGAGAAGCTGTTCCGAACGTTTCCGAAGGCTCAAAATGGCGGTAAAAAGGAGTGACTTCATTGTGCGTCTTTACAGCCAGATTTCAAGCGCAAAAATAAACATGTCATTCTAAAAACTAGAAATAAATACAGCCAGAAGGTTCAAGAAATTGTATTGTACAAGAACATGAACTAAAGGTGATTGTTGACAAATTTATCGTCTGAAACATTTTGTTTATCAACTAAGCAATGACAATTTCCGAATTTTCGTTTGAGATACATTTCTTTAAAAAAAACTGTGTCGCCAAATATAAAAATTTGCGTGTTCACAATAATTAAACTTTAGGATTTATTCTACAATTTGAGTGGGTTAAGAAGCTTAACTTTTCGAGAGTTTTCTTAACTTTTTAGTTTGAATTTTTGTTTTGAATAATTTTGCAAAAATTTTCGAAGTCGTGTCCGTTAAAATCAACATTTTTTACATGAATTATATTTCATTCCATACTTTAAATGCCAGGACGCTTTCAATTAATGTCTAGTCTACCCATTTGCTATATTTTCTCGTTTGTTTTACTAATTTTTGACCAATTAATAAGCATGTTTTTGTTTTAGAAATTGATATTCAAATTCCCCGCCATATTTTCATAATTTGGTGCATGCGCAGACGTTTTTCCGCAGTGTTGCCTAAGCCACAATGTAACATGCGCAGTGGCGGAAACTTGAGGGTGCGAATTTTGATTGCCAACACATGTTAATCCTGTTGTTTGCTACAAATCCGAGTTCATAATTTTCCTTATTTCTCGTAACTTTCGAATTTTCCACCTTACGTTTCCCACTACTTTCCACTTTTCGACATTTTTTTCCATATTTTTCTTTTATTTTTCCATATTTTTCTTTCTATATATATATATATATATATATATATATATATATATATATATATATATATATATATATATATATTTTCCATATTTTTTCCCATTTTTTTCCATATTTTCGACATCTTTTGAACATATTCTAGTTCCAGCCTTTATCCATGTTTCCTGTTAATTTATACTTATAGCCATGAAGCTTCATTATCTGATTGTGAATTTAAGACAATTTCCTTGTATAGATGTATTTCCATCTGACTTTCTCGTTTGAGAAGAAAGTTAAGATAGGGAACTTGTATTACTCGTGTTATATTTATACTCATTATAGCAGCCTGAATGTGTGTCCGGAAATGGGATTGATATGCCCGGTGGACTTTATTGCCGGTAGCTGACGTCACCGACCACGCTACCGGAAGTGCAAGCTAAGCATGTTTTCTAAGTATTCGGGAAAAATTGTGAAAATATACAACAACATTGTGATTTTTAAGCGAAATATATTTGGTTTTTAAACCTTTTATTGTGACTTGTTGTGGGATACACATCCTTGGAGGCGGGAATCCCCAACACTTGGCACCTTCGACGCGATTTTAGAGCTTGGTGAGCATACAAAAACAGCGAATATTGTGATTAATTGTCGTCTGTCGAATTCTAGTTCGAGATTAAAGCTTTGCCGTGCGAATATTGTCGACAATGGAGGTCGCTGAAGGGAAATTAAAGACAAAACTCATTCAATTAAACATAACAACGAATAGAACAAAGTCTATTGTGGATAATGGTCAAGCTGAAGCAATAGAAAGACATCTAAAAACTCTGAGAACTGTGATAAATGAAATCGAAGCGCTCAAAATAACATAGCAAGTAAAGGACGAGGATTTAGATGCGTGAAATGCAAATATAGTGACACAAATTGCAAAGGGAGATCAAAGTGTGGAAATCTTGAAAGAGTGGCTCAATAGTCGAAAGACAGAACGCGAAACGTACGAGAGAGAAGAGCAGATTCAATTCGAAGTCAAATTACAAGAGACCAAAGCTAAATTCAAGGCAGAACACGAGGGAAATCAAAACAGTTCTCCCAAATCTCATAGCGAAGCGACAAATATTCAAGCGAAATTACCTAAATTAGTCATCACCAAATTTAACGGGACATTTACTGACTGGAATAGATTTTGGGGACAATTTACAGAGTCAATCGACAAATCCAGTTTGCCAGCAATTACCAAATTTTCATACTTGAGAGAACTGTTAGATGACAAGGTCGGGAAAGCTGTAGAAGCCCTGCCATATTCAGCAGAGGGCTATAATAGAGCAGTAGCAATCCTTAAAGAGCGGTACGGAAAAGAACGCGAGATTGTTAAGGCGTACGTAAAGGAGATATTCGAGCTTCCTCCAGTTCTGACAGCCAATGCGAGGAAGATTCATGAGTTCTGTGAGAAACTAACATACAGTGTCCAATCACTCCAGACTATGAATAAACTTTCTCAAGTAGACGGTGCAGTAGCGATGACTCTAGACAAATTGCCAGCTATCAGAGGTGATCTCGTTCGTACTGACCCTGACAGTGGGAGAAATGGGACTTCATACAGCTTACAGAGGCTCTTCGACTTTGGACGAGAAGGAACCCGATCACTGAGAATGCCAATTCCGAAGACAAGGATCGAAGACGAGACAGAACGGGTCGGAATTACCACACTCGTCAAGGGACAGGGACTTCGCATACATGTGTATATTGCAATGCTGCAGATCATAAATCGACAACCTGCCCAACCGTTAAAACATCAGAAGAACGCAGGAGAAACCTAGCAAATAAAAAACTATGTTTCAACTGTACTGGACCCTCCCACCGAGCAGCGGAATGTAAAAGTATCGTGACATGTCACAACTGCGCTAGAAGACACCACACCCTCAATCTGTGAAAATCCAAAGAAACCAGAGGGGTTCATGTCAGCCCATAGGGCAGGGGACAACCAAGTTATTTATCCTGTTGTGGTCATCGAAGT